GTTTTGCTGACTTGCAAGGACCCATCTGTTATAACGATGCCCAAAATAAAGAGATGAATCTCATAGTTTATTAGATATAATCCATGTAAAGTTTGCTTATCATTTTCGCATAAATTATGACCTAAATTTGGACACCACTGAATTTCTCGAATTGGGTCTTTGCGATTTTGGTGAAACTTTGTTCAGCGCAAGGCACTAACGCGCACTATGTGTAGCCGAGAGATTTTCACGAAAAAATGCCGGCAACAGCAGATTTTCGACTCAGACCTCAAAGGGGCGTGGCATTATAACCACGTGACATTTACTCCGATCGCCAAAAATTTTTTGTTATATTGTAGGTTGATCTATATGTTATCCATTCTATGTGTTAGACTTACAATAAAAGAAAAGGTGGGGATACCAAAGAGCTTCAAAGTAGGATGGTACCCCCCCCCAAAAAAACTGGGTCGAGTCACCTTAAATCTTCACCTAGTACCTTAACTTTTAACCGCAATCCTCTTCTTGTATACAGTAGTTCACCCTTTGCCCTAAACAAACAGGTACAAATCTAAAGGGAGGAGGGAGCTGAGGTCCCATTTTTAGGGCAACGAGGTGCTGCTGATGGTTTGAAAAGCCGTACACAGTTTTTAGGACAAAACGTGTCCTCAAGGAGACAGTAAAACAAATCAGCACTGAAATCTAGTGCGAAACATTAACTAGTCGTTAAAAAAATTGAAACAACTAATCATGAATGGCACACAATTTGATTGCACATAATTTATTTATTTTTTAATTTTCTTTTATGTGAAACAATTCTTTACCGCAGATGCAAAAATCTGATATCTAAAAATCTCTTTTCTTGTTCATGATTATTAACCTAAACTGATCTTGGCCCGTTTTTCGGTAAAATTTCGAATCGTGGCCTTCAGATTAACCAGATCACGAAAACGTAGATTTAGGGTCCCTTCTTGATGAGTTAAAACATGACAATTGCGCTATCTTAGTTGTAAGTCGATTTAAATTCACACAAATAATGACCACCTCCTTCCAACTT